TCTTTAAACTTTTTTAAAGCAAGACAGATTTTTATTATAAATTTTTTTGAAATTTATTTAACTGTAATTTTTTTATATATAGACTTGATTTTTAACAAGTTGTAAATTATTATAAATAAAATAAAGAATAGTGTAGGTTGTAATAACGCATAAATACCCATATATGTGTTTCGTGATTTAATTTGTTACAACATCTATATTACTATACTACTATTACTATTACTATGAGTTGTTATTACTGTATGAAAACTCAATAATTTGATTGTTTGAATATTTTAATTAAGAAGACATTTTAAGTGTCTTATTTATTAAATAAATCAAACATTTAAAATGTCAATACAGTAATAAGTATTGTAAAAAGTATTAAACCAAAAGTAACTGTAACATCTTACAAAAAACTAATTGTTTATTTTTATTATTAGTATTATTATTACATTATTGTTTTAGATTGTAATAAAGTATAAGAACATTATTTAAAGGTTAAATAATTTTTTAAATGAATGGAGTTCCTGAAGGTTTGTGTAAAACTTGAAAAAACTCTATATTCATATAAAGTTGCACATGCGCAATGCGCCATATTTAGATTAGAAAAAACTTTTTTGAAACGTTTTTTTAAGGTCCCTTAAAATATTTAATCAAATAATAAACAAATTTCTAATAATATATTTTTCAAACATTTTACTTATACAACCGTTGTTCAAACGACCATCAAACGTTTACCAAATGTTCGCAAAACGTTTTAAACTTAATATAACTGAAATTCAGAAAATCGAACATTCGAACAACTGAAATTTTTCCTTAAAGTGGCTTATTTCAAGTTGCAATCAACTTTTTAAAAATAAAATACTTTAGGTGCCCCGAAAGTTCCTAACAGTATTGTTACGGAGCACTAAGAAATTGCATTTAACTAAGAGATTTACGCCTACTTTTTTACCGAAAGCGGCAAAACATACCTAAAGATTGCGTCGAACCCTGGGCCACTAGCTTCTGAGGCAAGCACGATAACTGCATAGTCACGTCTGCCTAATTTCAATTTTAATAAAAATAGAGAGTAAAATGCAAGAAAAATAAGTTAGATAGAACGTAATGCTGCTTAAGTCTTTTACCTGTAAAATAATAAACTATTACCATTTTTTTGAAAATGCCGTCATTTTTTCATAACCTTTTTAATTTTGAAAGCGTATATTTATTACAATAATTTGAAAAATTGTCCATTTTTAATTAACTTTTCGTTTGGAAGAGTGTTTAAATGGCATCTTGGATACGAGACTTAGTGATTGTCGGATTTCGAAGCCATTATTGTCAAAAATGAAACAAACATTCAAGTACCTCTTTTGTACGTGTAACCTATAACAGTTTTGACTTATGCAGAAGCTACATGTGTGACGCTTTTTCTATCTTCTCTTCTTCCTTAGCACAATTGTTGATTAAAATGGCACTTAAATTTTCTCGACCTGTCATAGTAATTGTTTCAATTGTATAGATCCTAAAATCTATACTGACGTAATTGGCATGAGTTATTTCTTCATCTATTAAACCACGTGGCCATAGCTCGTTGGCGTTCTCTTAAAAGAATCTAAAAAAGTCAGCTTCATCATTTATATATACATTATTTATTTCTGTCAAGGGGCTTTCCTTTCAAAATCATTTTTTACAGTGTTTATCAATACAGCGTTCCATGAACTTACCAATATGATCAGATCATAATATCACAAGACGGTAATTTTCATTAGACAGCAAGGTCTAGTTTAAAAGAGAGTTAAGCAAATGTTGGGTAGTCAGATTTAGAACCCTCAAATGAGACCAACTTAATGTTTAACCAGTTTATCAATATTATAATTTTTTTTTTTTTGTAATGAAAAATAATTTCTTAAAGTAACATATACAATTAATTTTAAAAACATAATTTCACCTTGATTAAGTAAAGATCCTCAAAAGTCATCTAAACGGTAATAAAAGTTATATATAAAATTTCTTTAAAAAATTGTGATAAAACAAAAACAGAATAAGAAAATTATGCTAGTTTGTATGAGAAACTTAAAAAAACCGCTAAAGCTAGTTATTATAACAAACTAACTAAAACGTCACAAACACATTCCAGAAAACATGGCATTTATTAAATTGAAGTATTGGTAAACCAAAACTTAGTAAACCATGCTTTTCTAAAACAATAAAAATCAATAACAAATCAATTGATAATGAAAACGGCAGTGCAAATGAGTTTAACAACTTCTTTGTTAATATAAGATTTAAACTTCTATCTCAAACTCATTGTGTAAATAAATTTTTTGATAAATATTACTAAATAACAAAACACAGACTATGTTAGAAAGTAAAGGGACTTTTAAAAGCCTAAAAAGAAACAAGACAACTGGAATTGACGATGTCAATAGCAATATAGAAAATAACTGCTACAAATTATATTAGCGAGCTTTCCGTTAAAATGAACGATGAATTAGAAAAAAGTTCAGAATGGTTTAGGGCAAACAAACTCTCTATTAACTCAACTAAATTAAAGTTTTCTTTGTTTCATCCTTCTCCTAAAAAAAAGAAGTTTAATCTACTTTTCCTATTTATTAAAAATAACTAATATTTTAACTGTTTATTGAAAATAGAGATAGTGATACTGTTACAAAATATTTGGGTGTTTTTATTGAATCAAATCAAAGTTGGAATAAACATATTGCTTATTTAGGTATTAAAATATCCAAAAGCATAGGAATAATATACCAATCATGTTACATATAAAAAAACCACTACTCAAACAAATTTACTATATTTCAAAGTTACCTAAACTACGTTAATATTGCATGGGGTAGTACCTATAAAACAAAACTAGAAACACTATATCGTAAACAAAAGAATGCTATCTGTGTAATTAAATTTTAGATATAAAACAAAACACTTAAATCCTCTTTTTGAACAAATTTTTTTTATTAACATTATCTGAACTAAATGTATATTAAGTTTTAAGTCTTATGTATAATAGTAAAACACCAAAAAGTCCTTTATTTTTATATAGTCGATAAACAAATATTTATTGCTTATAAATAATATATGCATATAGCTTCTAGAATATTGATCTTAGGAGATGTTTTACCAGCATTATTATATTTAATCTGACGCCTCACAACATTTGCGCTGTAAACCCTTTAATGTTTTTATGATAATCTGGATTATGGTTGCGATTTGAATGTTGTGTTGCGTGGTAAAATAGTTCGAGTTATCTATGATTAGAAAAAATTTCCTTTTATCATTGAACTTCGTGTAAAGATTTTTTAAACAATCACTCGGGGCTTGTACTGACTAGGTAAGTTTTTTACACATTTGAAACATCGTGGTTTTTTTGTCATTCTAAATATCAAGATAAGCAGGTTTTCACTTAGCCCATTCTCTGCTGCAGGCCTGTTAAACAAATTAGTGGTCCTCATGATCAAAAAAGCTCAACAAACACTTAAATTGAAAAAAATGGCCAATAGAATGCTTTGAAAAATATACATTTCCTTGTGAGGACTATTAAAAACAAGTGAAACTTATTCTATTTTTATTTTTGGTATACATTTTAAAAGAGATTTTCGCATTCTGTCTGTTAGTTCTGATAAAAATGCAAGTTGGATGTCAAAATTTATTATACAAAAATAACTTGAACATTTGAAACTAATAATGAAGAAGCAAACTAGGTTAATAGGATAGTTAATGGTTTTATCAACCATCGTCTTAACATAAAATTCATGGTCATCTGTTAAATTTAAACAGATCCCAACAACGGCTGAACATTTCGCATTAGTTCCAATGCTCTGGGCATTGAAACTAATGCGAGGACGGAAACGTAGAAAAAACATTTGTAATTAAAGTTCCTTGCGGCATATGCCGTAGTTTATTGTCGTAATTTAAATGAATTTTGTTTTTAATTCTTAATAAAATTTTCTTTAACTATTTTATAATGATTAATAACACTGGTTTTCAAAAAAGTATATTTTCCGGTGTCTTTGGTTGCTAGAGGTATCTACTATAGCATATTTATATGCGCAATTGCTCACTTTTTTTGCTAGCCTAAATTAAGTGAGCATTTTTAGAAAACGATGAGGCAAAACGAAGAATAATGAATGAAAATGTTGCTGACCCATACCAAACCCTCAGTCGATGTAGCAGCACTCCACGGCGAGTCAGGCTATTTGTCAGTCGACGTATGTACTGAAGCCCCCGGCAGCAAGCTATTTGACATTAGGTGAGTATGACATCATCATGCTCACCTAACTCAGCAGTATAAGATATATATATATATATATATATATATATATTTATATATATATATATATATATATATATATATATATATATATATATATATATATATATATATATATATATATATATATATATATATATATATATATATATATATATATATATACATATATATATATATATATATATATATATATATATATATATATATATATATATATATATATATATATATATATATATATATATATATATATATATATATATATATATATATATATACCCAGCAGGCACAATGACGTTGAAATAACGTTGAAACAACATCGCAAACCGACCATATACCACGTTGAAACAACGTTGAAATTTGGTTGAATTGGAAATAAAATCGGACGTCGAAAACAACGACGTTGAAACAACGTCGATGATTACGTCGTTTCAACGTTGATCTAACGTCTTATCGACTATATATCAACCATATTTCAACTTTGAATAGGTGATATATTCGATTGATACGCAGTTGATAAGACGTTAGAACAACGTTGAAACAACGTAAACTCAACGTTGATTTTTGTTTTTTATTTTGGTTAAATCCAATTAACTAAAAAATTATCTCAACTTTAATTGCAATAAAATAATACAATAAAAAAGCAATAATTTGCGCAGAGGATATTATATTTCACGTAAATTAATCAGATACAACTAAATTGCTTCAACGGACTTTATATACAATGCAAATAAAGTAAAATGTTTGAAAAAAAAAAGTTTTATTTATCAGTAATATATTTATCAATTTTTCAATAATAACTATTATCAATAGTTCCAGAACAACTAGGAAAAAGTATAAATGTTATACATCGGGTGAATTGCCTTTTACGCGCCGATCACCACCATTAGATCTGTCGAGTGCGTATTTTAATAAAGTCATTATTCCCTTTCTTATTTCGGTAACTGTAGCAGTCACTTTAATTGACAAAACGCTCTCTATAAAAAAAGGTATTGCCTTAGTAATTTGGATCAAATACATCAAAAAGTTAAAAATAAAATAGCATTAAAAAAACGAACTGTGATTTTTAAAAAATATATAATTTTACACTTAACTTACAATTAAATACCTAGTGTTTGTTCCTTTAAACTTCTCTTTACCTTTACCGCCAGCCATATTAAATTTTGATTATAAACCGTTGGTCAACAACCTGCATTATACATTGTTATTATTATTACAGTTACATTAAAAATTGCTAAAACTAAGTAAAAATAATATCAACCTTTTTATAATTACCAGTGTCATTTTCTTTAATATGACTGTAGAATAAACAACCAAGTTCACACAAATTATAATTCTAAAATAGAATTTAATGAAGAAAAAATTCCTTTAATTTTTATGTACTTTTGAAAAAAATTTTATAAAAATAATAATATTTTTATAAAAGTTCTGAAGACTCCTACAAAAATTGCTATAAAAGTTTTTTTTTCAAATATCATAAAGACTTTATAAAGAAATTTTTATACAAAGTAGAGAAATTAATCAATAAAAAGTTCTGAAAAAAGCTAATAAAAAAACTTTATTTTTAAACAAAAAGTTCAACATACTTTACAAGTTATGAGACACTTTGTCAGGTTAAAAGTTTGATTAAGGTTGCATGCTGTCATACACTAAATATAAGAAAAACGAAACACCTGTTAAACTAAAAATTAGTTTTTATTATTAGAAACAAGCCTTAGAAGAAATAATGTATATTTAAATTCTGTAGAATGGTAAAATGGTCATCGTCTCATATAAATTTATTACAAATGTCTCCTGATTTCTTATAGTACTTAATTTTGTAAACTATACCAACAACTTCTATAACTTCTGCTAAATAAAGCCTTTAGGCTTTATCTAGGCTCTATCTAGCTTTATCTATTTTATTTCGGCCAACTTGATGATTAAAAAACTCAGAAAAATTTTACATAAAATAAGTATATTTACTCCAAAATAAATTTCATCAGAACTTTCATCATTTAAAAACTAAAAGATAATCTGTTTTGATATTTTAGGTGTATCAGTTAAAATATGCAATTTTCTTTTACACCTATTATGTGTTTTTTTGTATTAGTAGTTATTCTTAATCTGGCTTTGGAATGAGGTCGTATTATTTAGGTAAAACAATAAATAATATTGATGTTAAACTCACAGGAGCCCTTTCTCATAAATTAAATGATGTCGATGGTGAAATGGCAGGAGCAGTTTTAACACCAATACTATTATTAGAAATGGAAACTTCAGTATTCACTATTGGCCGATCAGTAATATTTGCAGCTAAAATATTTAAAGCAATAAAAATTCTTTCACCCATGTTCCCCAGGGCTGTCCTGAGGGGGGCAAAGGGGTGTCTAGCCCCTGGTGATTTGTCATTCTTTGTTAGTTATTCTGGAAAGATAATCTGGTGATCAACTTTCAGGAGGAATATATTGGTTTCCTTCTTATAATAAAAGTAAGTTTTAGATGTCTTTTCCAAAATACAAAATATTCTCAATGAAAAATTGCACAAACCGCAAAGGTTTCTTACCAAACCGTAATGCAAGTAAGAAAAATAATTGATACAGGGAAAGAGTTTGGTCCAAAGCGACTACTTTCTAAACGCAAGAAAAGACCAAGAGCGGACAGTATAATCAAAAATATCTGCCTGTAAAACAGAAAAAAAGCCACAAAGCTTACCCATATAGCTGTAATTGTTGTGTCAGACCAGACCATTTGTAGAAGGCTAAAAGAAGAGGGACTGATGTCCAGCCAAAAAAGTCAAAAAGTGACAAAAAAATTCAAAAATATTAAAAATAATGTCAAAAATCTTATATTTATGCAAGATGGTGCAACATGTTACACAATAAAAACTGTTATGGCTTAGTTGATGTATTGCTATGGCCAGACAATTTGCATGATCTTAACCCCATAGAAAACATTTGCGAAATAGTAAAGCAAAAGATTGGAAAAACAAAAATCTTACTAATAAGCAAGATCTAATGGAAGAGATTATCAAGATCTGGTATAATAACCTAGAGTTGACAAAAACTATAAAAAATAAATTGCAAGCATGCCACAATGCAATGAAGCAGTTATTGCAAATAAAAGTGTTTTTGCAAAATATTTATACTTTATACATATTTTATATAATTTATCATAATAATCAATAAATATTCAAAATGTTCAACTTTATTTATTTATTTTTATCAAGTACAACTTTATAAATAAAAGAAAAAACTTTATATATATAAATAAAACTTTATATATATATATATATATATATATATATATATATATATATATATATATATATATATATATATATATATATATATATATATATATATATATACATATATATATATATATATATATATATATATATATATATATATATATATATATATATATATATATATATATATATATATATATATATATATATATATATATATATATATATATATATAATATATTCATATAAGCATATGTATGTATATATACATACATATATATGCATGTTTATTTATGTACATATATATGTATGTATATATAGAGTAAAAAAAAAGGTTAAGTATGCGTTACAAATCAACCTTTGTACTTTAAGGTTGTTCTTTAGCTCAAGGAAATACAAAAGTAAGAGTAAACAGTTACAAAAAAAATTATAATCAGATATAAAAAAAAAAAGATTTATTTTATGTCTGATTAGAATTCGTCAAACTTTTAAAAATATATGCTACACAGTTTTTTAACACAAGTTTAAAACAAACTATAATAAAAAGATTCAAAAGATTTTTTATTTAAAACTACTTTTAACAAACCTTTGCATCACATTTATTTGTATTTGTCTTGATGGTTTTACCTCCAATTTTAGAAAGTTTGTTAACCTAAAGGTTTAAGAAAATAATTACACCACATTATTTTTAAAGTACATTTAAAAAAAGTTACAAGTAGATTAACTTAGGCTAAGTTATTAATAAATACTTAATCAAAAAACAATTAAAAAAAACTGCAAAAAGTCATGGTTTGAAACAACTCATCACTTCTGACCTCAACCAAGAATCATTTAAACTGTTATCATAATCATTAAATTACTGCTGCAAGTTCATCCATAGAATTTCAAAACTATTTGTCATGATATTACTTTAATTACTGGAAAGAGTTTTTACTAACATCTCTTTCTAACAATAAAGATATATCAGAAAGACAAAAGAACCAAACATTAATTAATTTTTAAAAGTGTTGAAACACAAAAACAAAAAATTTATAAAATAAAACATTATTCAAAAATTAAATAAAATGTATTAATTTAGCAACCAAAGAAATGTGTAAATCACTGAAGCATAGAAAAAAATGTTCAGAATCTTTTCTTCCTAAATCAACTTGCAGACAGACAATTAATACCTTGAGCTACAGTATGTGGAGTATGCATAAAAATTGTTTTCTGTTTCTTTTTTTTGCGTTACAGGAGTAAATATTTGCTTACTATTCTGTTGGTTATTATGTTTTCTCTTGCATAAGCATGGTAGTGACTTCTATAAAAATTAACATCAAAATATAACAAATAATACTTGAATAAAGTATCTTTTGAAATAGTTACTGTTTTCTGAACCTGATTCTATCTGAGTATCACTAGTAGAGGCAAATTCAAATTTATTACATAACTCATGATCTAAGAATATTCATTCAATTTAAAAATGTTTTAAATACATTATATAATAAAGAATATATCTAAACACTGAAAACAACATATACAGAATGAAAGCATGTTAAAAAAACAAGGAAAAAAAGTAATGACTTGAAGTTTTTATTAAAAAAAATTACATTATCTTCATGACATTTAATTTTGAGCAGCGTAAATCTGTATTAGTTAGATGCGGTTTATGCATTTCATTGAAACAATTTATTACATTTAATAATGGCCAGAACAAAAAATTATCAATTGAATTTTCTCTCTTTATTTCTCTGTATTTTCTATCCAAACAGCTCGAATGAACAGTTTGCATGCTCTACAATACTTTTTCAACTGGAAAAGTATAGTAGAAAATATAATAGAAAAAATACTTATATATTAAAAATTTGTTCATGTATCATAGCTAACAGAAAAATACAACTTTAAACTGCACGTTATGATACATTACACAGTTGCTAAAATTTGATAAATTTTTATGTTGATCCTTTACCAATCAATATCATGGACTAAAGGAGCATGCACAAATTCTTTTTTATACAACTTTACAAAAAAAATCTTTAAAAAATTTAATAAAAATTTTTTTAATATAAAAAATACTCAAACTCTTTAAATCACATGGATTGGTAAAAAAGCTTGATAAATCATTATTTTGTAAAACATCATCCATTATATATATTTATATTATGTATGTATATATACATATATAGTGTATGTATATATTATATATGCATATTATATATATGTATTATATATATATATATATATATATATATATATATATATATATATATATATATATATATATATATATATATATTATATAAATAAGAAAAACATATATAATATATATTTTATATTTATATAATATATCAAGTAGTCTCTACTTGTAATCCACACTCATGAAATAATACGGTCATAAAGAAATATCCATTTAATATTTACCTAACTAACTGCATCACAAGTTAAGCCATGTATTATTGTTAAATTGTCAAATTCAAAACCTTATAAAAAGGCAACAGATGACCTATATTTATTAGCATGTGTGACTTTACTTGTTT